CCGCTATAGCTTAATATTCCACAGGTCTTTGACCCTCCTCTGGTCTGTCCGTCGAGCTGCTCCACTGTGGGCCCTGGGGCGACCGATTATGGTCGGGGTAGTCAGAGGCAGTAACAGGGCTTTGCAGTTGATCCTTGAGTGCTTGAAACGAGGGCACTTGAAGCATATCTTTGTCTTCTTGGTCATATCCCATTTTCCATTCAGGTTTGCTTCTTTGAACTTCTTGCATTCTAGTGCGAAGTGTTCTTCCTCGCAGAACGGACATGACTTCTTATATTTTTCCTTTGACGCTTCTTGTACCATATGTACGGGTTTTCTTATTCCTCTTCTTAGTTCTGAGGATGCTTCAGGCGGAGCGAAGTCTCCGCACATGTCGGCTTCTGCTTCTAGGAACGCTTCGACGAGTAATAGCTCCTGAATTTCCTCATCTCTTCTGATTCTGTGGTAGGCGAACCAACGAAACTTCATTGACGTCGGCATCTTGTCTACTATAACTCTCAGCGTTTCAGGTGAACTGAGATACTGCGGTTTCTTCATGGCTTTGATTGTCTCAACTGCGTTCTTTACTTTGCTCGCAAATATGCATATGTCACTCGGGTTCTCGCCGACTCTTGGGAGGTTCTTCATTTTTTCTAGTTCTGCTAATGTCAGTGCTCCAGGTCTTCCGAATCTTGCTTCTAGTCCCTTGATTGATAGTCTTCGGCGGTGAACAGCAGGCTTTGGGCGGCTTCTCTAGCTTTACTTGGATTGCTATTCTAAGGCGCACTAGGTTACCGAAAGAAGTGGCCATATCCTCGTATGATCTTTTGAAGGCCAACCATTCTTCACAGGCCCCGTTGAAGTGAGGGAGTTCGAGGTGCTTCGGTGAAACGGTGTCACGTGACTTTTCAGATAGCTTGAGTATGACTGAAGCTAGTTCCTGGATGTCACTCTTCTTTTCTTCTGCCTCTATTGGTTTGTGGTTCTTATTAGGCATGTCTCCGGTCTGGATGAAGCACCGCTCGACTTCTCGTGTTCATTCAAACAGCTCTTCTCAGGCACCATCTTCTTCTTCTGACTCCGCGGTGAGAAGTTCCAATTCCGCTTGAGCAACTTTTGACCAAGCTTCTGCCAGTTCTAGTTCTCTTAATGCCATTGTCATTTTTGCTTGCGCTTCTGCTCTCTTCCTATGCGACGAGCGAACGGAAAGTGTGTCTGGGTCGCGGGTCGCCTTCTTAGGGTGAGGCTGCTGCAGACTCTTTTCTCTGGACGTTGGTATGCTTCCCTCGTTCAGACATGTCTTCACTGCGATTCTTCTTTCTTGAATCTGCGGCGTTGGATGACTCTCTTCTTGGTGAGGAACTGACGCTTCGACGGTGCGGGTCGGGGGGGGGAGGGTATGGGTTACGTCCCCTGGTGTTGATTCTTTTCCGGCAATGTTCTTATTAAGAAGTACGGGTTGTCTGTGTACGCTGCTGGGCGATGCTCTTGTAAGCGTCGATCGATCTGAAGTTGACGAGCGTTAGTAGCCGTCGTGCTTGTCACTCGGCGTATTCATGCTCCAATCCATCGTACTGGTACCCGTAGTAGCGTTACTTTCACTCGTAGTCTTCGACTGCACTGATTTTGATCTTGTATTTGAAGGCATCTTCCTGGTTTTCCTTAAACCCGATCCGGCTTTTCGAAGGACCAATGTAGATGCTAGTGTGTGAGAATGTTAGTAAATGGAGCGGGTTATGCTGGCGGGATGTTAACTGGAGAGCATGCAGTACAGTTAGATGAGCAATAAATAGCACTTCTTGAGAGTTATTTATTTTCTTAATTCCTTATTATTACATTGCCGGATTTGGAATGTTTTACCACAAAAAACGCCCCTTTTTTATAGGCAGCTGTGACCAATCAGAATTAAGAGAATTTGCACGCGGCACTAATGAATTTGCACACGGCACTAATGATCCCCGTCGACCAATCAGAGCGCAGAGCAACCTTTTCTAAAGGAAATTTACAAATTTCTTTAATAAGTGTGGTAAAACATACCTTACAATATTTTTATACATTCCTGACAATAGATATGACTTATTTTTATTATTTCGAACATAAAACATTCATAAAACTTTTAATTTATACTTGTAAAAAATAAAAATAGTGGCGCGGTCTTCTTATGGTTTAGCTCCGGAGTAGCTAAGCTTTTTCAGCTCACCATACAAGTAGCACCGCCAGGCGGCAGGAATGCACAACGCTTATCACGATAATACTGTGCTTAACTTGACTCTATACAGAACATATTTCAACTTCTTATTAAATTAAAATATATTTCTATAATGAGTAATTATACTACAAAAGAGATTAATTGACTAATTATTAACAATAAATTGAAAAAGAAATAAACAAATCATTATATTTACACTTAAATGTTAGTATCTCTAATACAGCTCTTTAAAATTACAATAAGAGAAAGTTCTAATAGGTAACTAAACTCATATTTTGTTTTTAACATTCTAATTAAACCTAAATAAGCAATTAGATTCATATTTTCGTTACAGACTTTGTTACTAACTTTCGTTACGCAGTTTTTAAAATAAGAATTGAAGCTAATATAAGTTATTATTTCACTTTCTTGGTATTAATGCTATTAGTATTTATACTTAGTTTAAATCACAGATAAGAAACAATTGAGATTAAACGTTCAAATTCACTTTTCATTGCTAACACTTAGTTTTAGATCACAAATAAGAAACAATTGAGATTAAATGTTTTTAAATTCACTTGTCGTCGCTAACAGTTTCTTTTTTTAAATTATGTATAATTAGTATTAATTGTAAATATTATAATTTTAATTATCGTTTTTATTTAATGTTACGTATATAATAATTGCTGTAATTTACTTTAAAACATATCGTGAATAAATAAATACTTATTTTTGTGTATGGCCGCGAAGCTAATCTTCCGGGAGGTGAAATTGAAACAGATGACATTCTTACGCTAAAAAGGTCACGAGATGCAAGAAGAACTTTGCAAGATTTAAATGTGTAAGTAAAGGTTTGAATCTTGTTATCATAAATCGTTTGTGAAAATGAAGCAATATCAAATTTAAAATTTCGTTTTAAAGCATCCAATAAAATACGTATAGAAATAAATCAAATGAAATTATATATTTCTTCAGATAAAGTCGCAGAATTTCTGTTTCTTTTTGAATATTGTAACGGTCGCTCTAGATTCCGTCTAATTTTATTTCCTCTTTAAAATATTCTTTTAAAAACGAATAATATGTACAATTCATATTGCAAGCCCTTTAAAAATGAAAAACTAATAAAACAGTCTATATTATCAAGCTTAGTGATGTTTTTTATGTTATTTTCCAACAAGTCTTTCAGTTTAAAATCACCGTTAAGAATTGTTGGAGGAAATGACACGTACCAAGATGAGTATCTATATATCGTTCGTATAGAAAAACAGGCTATGAAAAAATTCACCAATAACTCTATTATTGCCAAGCATTATCATGTGTGTACAGGATCAGCACTTTCAGCAACCTGGGTGCTAACTGCGGCCCACTGTTGCTTCGTAATGCCCAGTAATACTGAGAAACTTGTAATAAGATACGGGCACCTGCATGATTCACCATTAGTTAACGATTCATTTAGTGATGTTTTATACACAGTCAGACATCCGTTATACACAATCACATACGGAGAGTATCACAACCAAGTAATGAAGAATGACGTTGGTCTACTGCGGACAACACCTATGAATATATCACGTTATATTAAACTTAGTGCTACAGATTACTTGACTTTGTATGGCCACGAAGCTATCATAGCCGGTTATGGAATAACTAAGGCTGCTGTTCTAGGAGATAAAATTCAAACAGCCTCTACTCTTATACTGAAAAAGCCACTACAAGTTTTGAATGTGCTAATTTCTAAATGCATAGATGATGAGTCATTGGCTCCGGCCCTTTGCTTAGCCCCGAAGTGCAGCCATGACGCTACGACATGTGGAGGCGATTCAGGTGGGCCACTTATCCATCCTTCAGGGCTCGTAGGAGTATTATCTTTAGGAGAAAAATCCGGAGATTGCTTAAATCCAACCAAAGAGACGCGTGTACATGTCTCAGGTGTTGTTTTACCGATTAGCCCGTATATTGAATGGATATATAGTTATGTCTCAGTATGAAACAATTATTGTTATTCGATCTTAAAAATTTATATATAGTTTTAAAAATGTTAAACCTTGAATCCAAATCAGGAAAAGTCCTAGAATTACTTTCATATGCCTACTCTTGAGATATTAACCCTTTTTTATTTATACTTTTATAAATTCGATTAAATAGAGAGAAAACTGCTATAACGTTTTATATGTATTACGGTTTGTTTGTACAATGATTTTCAAATCTTAATGATGTGACACATTTGTGTCCAATCAAAAAGCCGTCTTCGGCATCTTAAAGAGCCTTAAAGAACTTAAATTGTCTGTGAATTTATATCGCATCGTCACTGTTGATTCTGAGAAAACCTCAAAAATTCGAGTATTTTTAAATTTCAAAAAATAATTTTCTTGGAATTTCTCTTTCACTCTAAAAACATCATAGATAGAATCAGGCGTTACTTTGCGGAAATCCATTATAAAAAAATAAAAATATAAATTTCTTTGCGACCACTAAGAGCCTAAGCTGGCTTAGCGGTCAGCCGCCGTGGAGTCTACATTACCTGAAGATTCCTCGTGTAGAGGCGAAACACGTGTCGTATTATCGTCGATGGTGTGTCTTACCTGGAATAGTGGTGTTGGGTGTAGTGGTGCTGGGACTAGTGGTGACGGAGTTAGTGCATGCAATTGAGGGAGGGCGGGAGGTGCTCTTCAATCCAGGTAAGACACATCATTGTATTTATTTAGCGAAAGGTTGCAAAGAAATTTATATTTTTATTTTTTATCAAAAAACATCGCCAATTGCCGTGAAACATATCAAAATCGGTTGATATTTTCAGCTCTGTTACAAATTGCAAGCCTTATTAATTTTTTTACTATTTTGTAACCCCATATTTCCCTGTATAATATTCCGTATGATCAGCTTGTTGCAACTCCGAGAGTGGTAAGTCATCACTGTCTGAATCTAAAGATGGTATGTCAGCATCCACTTCACTATCTGTATTGCTTTGAGCACTGATATGATCTGCATCACCATCCGATTCTTGTTCGGTATTTATAAACTCAGTGTCACAATCATCGTCTTCTTCTGTCAATGCTCGTAATATATCTTCTTCCGCTAACCGAGACATGTTTTAGTAAAACTATTTTATCAATTAACAAACAATATTTCACCACGTCAAACATCGAAATAAACATGTAAATTAATAATAATCAAAGGTTACACTTACCTTTCGGGTCACGCGCCGTACAGGGTGGGGTGTATGATACCCAAACGCACTTCACGCACGTGTCACACGGTTTGGTGGCCGGACTAAATGTTTCACACGGATCGGAGCGGCAAAGTCGCATTTACAGCTACTGAGAAAACCAGTTTGCGTGCCTTTTTCGTTCAAAAATAGTAACAAGTTTTTTAACGCTGGGGTATGTCATGTAAGGTAGTCCCAGGATGAACGTGTGATTTTTAAGGTAACAGTGTCCAGAAAGGGCTCTTGCCAGAATGCGCTATTTATTTTTACTTAATCTTAGGGCTTCTGAGGCGAATTTACGATCAAAAGCCCGGATTAAGGTTTTAGGATGTTTTAAATCTGGTGTGTCAGACCAGATCATGATGTGATTTATTGTGATAAAGAGTTTCAAGGGTCAATCGGACACTATTTTTGCTGAAATGAGGCATTCCATCTTAGACCCTAGGTGTGACAGCGCATCTGCATTTTGATTCGTAGTCGAGGACAAATATAGATGTTTGTGAGCTACACATCTACTTACTTGTATAATAAATATATACATAATAACAAACCTGGTAGCTATTTCTTTTTCTGGTCATGTGATCCCGGATTTGAATTGATTCGGACAAAAAGTTATTGAGATTTTTTTGTCAATAAAAGTAGCAACCCGAAGTTTTTCTCAGTGCCTTGGAAAGCACGTTAAGCCGTTGTTTTTGCGTTTTTCTACTAGTCTTGTCGGATTGGACTAGGAGAAAGAGATAACAGAGAATACTTCTGTACTTACGCATACTCTCGTGTACCATGTGCTGCTTAGGTGGCTGGTCTGAGAACACAGTTAATAACGGCCTCACTTATAATAATTGACGTCAACTTAAGAAGTGCCTAATGTTGCTTTACCTACATACATGAACATAAACACTCAAGCCTGTCACCCAGAGGGGTAGGTAGATACTACAGACTTCCATTTGGCACGATCTTGAGACACCTCTCTCGCCTCCTTCACATCCATATACCTACGCATACATGCTCGTCGGTTAAAGTTACTCCTAATTTGGCCCGTTTTCAATAAATCGCCAATTTGGTCGACAAATTTTCGCCTAGGATGTCCCTTTCCGACTCTGCCATTCACTTCTGCAACATAAATTTTCTTTTTATTGCTTTATAAAATATATTTGATAAATTGCTTTATCTCTTTTCAATAAATGGCAACGGAAAGAGAACAAGCACATATTGATACGGCGCCGTTTACGAATGCAGATTACTGACGTCCAGCCGGAATGACGTTACGATATATTGACTTAAACGGCAGACAATATCTAGCCCTATTAAAGAACGACTAGTTCGATCCACTTTCTTTACGACTAAATCTAGCCACAATAATGCAAAAGCGCTGGTAAATGTTGCAGTATTAAAGAAAACCCGCTGTATTTGTTCGGTTTGTAAATCATGATTCTTAAAATTTAGCATTATCAGACACATTGATGAAAACTAATTTTACGGATTTTATCACGTTTATTTTTCTATTATTTTTAATTCCCGACGTTTCGGGCGCTTTCCAGCACCCATGGTCACGGGGGACTGAGATGACTGACGTCCCGATGTCATTGTTAAACCCGTAGTACCTACAGCTTTTTTAATTATTGTTTATGGTCCGATCTATGCAAAATGAACTGACTATGTCCTGAGATTTTACAGTGGTATGTTTGGGTTTAGTTTTAATTTTATTGATTATAGGATCCCAAGCAGGTCGCAGTACCCAGCCTCCTTCTCTATTGAAATTAGGATGTTTTTTAATTTCAATAGCCTCACGTATCATCCTTGGTAGGAATCGGTGTTCTTTCGCGAAGATTTGTGGTCTATCAAATCTGATGTAATGGTTGGGGCCGTCTAGGATATGATCGCAAACTGCAGACTTCCCGGAACGTTGGTACTTCACATCAGCTATATGTTCTTTTACGCGGGTTCTAATTGATCTTTTTGTTTGTCCTATATAAGAGAGACCACATTCACAATCAAGCTTGTACACTCCTGCATCTTGTAGAGGAATATGACACTTGACTGATGGTAGGAACTGACTAATTCTCTTCGGCGGCTTGTAGAATGTTCTAATAGAAGCTCGCTTCAAGATGTAGCCAAACTTGTCTGTGACACCTCTAACATATGGTAGTACAGCAGACACACGCTCGACTGTGGCCGGCTTCACTCGGTCACTGTGACGTAGGCGCGGGATCCGAAGCTGCACGACATGCAGAACATGCTTGACGTGCTGAAGCTCGGTGACTGCAAAACCTCAGGACATAGTCAGTTCATTTTGCATAGATCGGACCATAAACAATAATTTAAAAAGCTGAAGGTACTCCGGGTTTAACAATGACATTGGGACGTCAGTCGTCTCAGTCTCCCGTGACCATAGATGCTGGAAAGCGCCCGAAACGTCGGGAATTAAAAATAATAGTAAAATAAACGCGATAAAATCCGTAAAAGTAGTTTTAATCAATGTGTAGCGTTCGCGTAAATATAAGAAATCATTATTATCAGACACATTACAGAACACAAAAAGCTAACACATTGCATGACGAGCATAATGACTAAGCTTTTATTAATATGTCTTATTTCTTATTTCTCTGCGACATACACTTGTGCCGACTGAATGCAGCCGAAGTTACTCCCGCTGAACCGAAAACCATTTGTTTCAGATTATTATTTATGTGAGTTCGATTTTTTCTTTATACTTTTACGGATTTAGGTTCATCCAATATGCTGTAGTTGAGTAGAATTACATGTTAAATTTTACCTTGCGCTATAATGAATTCATAAACGGTTTCTTATAATAATTTTTATGACTACCGTATACTGCAACATGTTAGACGTACTTAAAATTTCGGAATCAACTTATTTACATATTACACTGATTCATATTTTTAAAATTATACTACTTATATAAATCCGATCCGATCCAAAAAAAATCCGATATTTAAAAAAAAATATCAACAGTTTTAGTTGGAATGATCAGTTGTATTGACCGACACACGGCGCGCTTTGCTACGAGGGTGGATTGAAAAGTACTCGGCCTAACACAGATCCATTCAATTCTAAAAATCAAATCTACCCACATTATTTAGTTCAGTTCAGACTAGTTCATTGTGTGAAGTTTGAAACGTGTGCGATAATTAGTTGTGATTTTATAAATTTATTAACAAAGTAATCGGACATAATTTCCGCGAATGGAGCAAATCGAGCCGTGCCGTCATTAAGTACCTCCATAAGAAGGGGCTATCATCAAAAGCCATCCATGATGACATGGTCAGTACATTAGGCGATTGTGCTCTGTCATATTCATCCGTCAAAAATGGATAGCAGAATTTAAGCGTGGTAGAGAGAGTGTGAAAGATGAAGCCCGCTCTGGAAGGCCTTCGACGTCAACTACTGACGAAAATATTAAAAAAGTACTTGATTTAATAATGGGAGACCGCAGATTAAAAATTAGAGAGATAGCCGAGATTATAGGCATCTCTTATGAACGAACTCAAAATATCGTTGTCAACGAGTTGGGTTTCCACAAGGTGTCTGCGAGGTGGGTTCCGCGACTGCTTTCAGTGGAACAAAAAAGGACGCGATTGACTATTTCACGCGACTGTTTGGAGTTATTTGAAGCCGATGCCGATGATTTTTTGAATCGTTTTATTACTATGGACGAAACATGGGTTCATTACTATACACCGGAAACAAAACAACAATCAAAACAGTGGAGAATACCTGGTTCACCACCCCCTAAAAAAGGCTAAGTCGATTTTGTCGGCAAATAAGGTGATGGCTTCAGTATTCTGGGACTCGAAAGGTGTGATTATTATTTTTTTTTATAGAAGAGGGGGGCAAACGAGCATGTGGCTCACCTGATGTTAAGTGACTACCGCCGCCCATTATCAACCGCAACACCTGGGAAATTGCAGGTGCGTTGCCGGCCCTTTAGAAAGGAAAAGATATGATTATGATTGATTATCTTGAAAGGGGTCAGACTATAAACTCTGATTACTACTGCACCTTACTACGTCGTTTACGAGAGGAAATAAAAGAAAAACGTCGAGGAATGCTCAGAAGAAAAGTCCTGTTTCATCAAGATAACGCCCGTGTTCACACGTCAGTACAGTCAATGGCTGAAATTCACAACTGTAGCTTTGAACTGTTACCGCATCCGCCGTATTCACCTGATCTGGCACCATCAGACTTCTTTCTGTTCCCTAACCTAAAAAAGCACTTGGGAGGTCAAAGATTTTCGACAAACGACGAGGTCAAAGCAGGCATATTTTGACTCTAAGGAAGAATCATTTTTTTTCAACGGTCTAAAAGCTTGGAAGGGAAGGTGGCAAAAGTGTATTGAACTTGATGGTGATTATGTAGAAAAATAAAAATATAACTGATTTAGTATGTGTTTATTTTCTTGGTTAGTACAATTCTTGTAGTCATGCGCGGCGAGTGTCGTACATAAGTTATATTGAGATATTTTTTCTGACAAATAGTTTTCTGTGATTCTGACATTATAAGACATTTTTAAATTATGACCTCAATAGAAACAAGTTATTAATTTTAATATTATATAGTAAATGTTATTGTTTGAAGTGTTTTATTGTCTATTGTTTATTTATCTATTTGTTTTATAGGGATAACAACAGCCTTCATTCTGTGAGACATTATTCTTATATAATATGTCTTTACATAGGGCCAATAATTGTAATCCACTTTTAACAATATATCAAGAAAAAGAAGTATGAAAAAAAAACTTAAGAAAATCATTATTGATCAAAAACAGAAACACTTTTTATAATTAGTTTGTCATGGCAGACCTAGCAAAATATTTATATTTCAATAATATAGCATAAGATTATATAATATACATATATTATACA